TGACTTAGCAGTAGCGGGGTCATGTGCAGTCCTCGAGTCTGTCAAGACTCGTTCCAAGTCTCCTGTGACTGATGGTCACGTGATCCATCCTCACATTACCTCCCCTCTTGAAAAGGGCGGTCCCTCGCCCGTTGATAGCAAGGTACTCGTTTGGCGATAGCCAAAGAGCAGTGGTGTGGCAATGATGCCGTATGGCCGTCCGAGTGAGCTCGCTAAAACCCAAGAAAAACCCTTCGTGGGGAAAAGCATTGGGAAAGAGTGTTCATCGGAGGCGGGTATATAAATCGCCTTGTTGCCTGGGAAGTGACACTGAAGTGAAGTGAAGTGATAGTGAAGTGGAAGTGAAAGTACTCCTAGGCATCGCCCTCGTGTCAGTGGAGAGTGCCTTTATCGAGATCATATCTGCCTGAAATCTCGCCTCTGATATAAAGAGGAGATCTCCCGCTGTTTTGATCTTGCTTCTTTCCTTCACTCCACCTTCACCATCGCCCACCTCTCTGTGTTTCCTTTTGGTGATAGCCTTCTGAGGTCTTCTGCACTGATGCATGGATAGCCACATACTCGCATGCGACTTGCTTTCTGAGTGACTTTCCTACGTCGATTTCGTGATGTCTCCCAGGAAGAAACTCAATTCCGGATTGCGCATCAATAGCGCGGGTCTGGTGAGTTGGTTCATCACTTGCGAGTAGTCTAGTACTCACTATCGCTAGGTCTTGATTTGTCGAGGTTGTTGCGACAAAATTAGCAATGGTCGGACATACACGAAGCACTCGGAACTCTACGGCGACGAGACGGTTCCCAGTGGAGTCGCTTGCGACATTCCGACGACTTTGGCGCACAGCTGCAGCGCTTGCAAGACTTTGAAGCGGGCTCATTGCCAACTCGTAAGAGTCAACCCATGTCTAAGTCGGACATAGTGCTAATTCCGATGCTCAGGTCCCTGTGCAACTGAACAACGCGGTTCTCCAAATTGCTCGGAAGTTTATCGCGTAGGTGTCGTGTGCGAGTATCCTGGTACTCAGCTAACCCTCGCGCAAGCCTTGAGCGTCTTCCTGTCGACGACCTCGAGCTCCACGCGCGACAAAGTGAGCTGGAGGATCTCCAGGAACAGGTCGTGCGAGCGCTCCGCAAGGCGGCACCGAAGAGTGGCGCGCGAGCTGCTGGCGGGTCGGGGTCGAGTAGTTCTACTGTCTCTAGCGCTTCCTCAGCTGCTAGTGTAGCTATCCTCGAGGACATCGCAAAATCACTCCGCACCATCGCTGGTGTGGCCGTGGCGTTTGCCGCTTATCGGGAATTGGTGAGTGATCCTGGAGATGCCCGTTTGCGAGTATCCTGCTGATTGCAATGTAGTCTATCGCGGCTATCCCCTCGTCCGTTGAGCTGGACGTGGCTCGATCCGCTGGCTCAGAGAGCCCTGGCTCCGAATCTGAGTCTGGGGAAGAAGAGGATGATAGTCCATCCCCCGCTGCGGCCAAGAAAAGGGCCAACGGTACGGCCGCTGCTGAGACCGAGGAGTCTTCTGCGGAGGAGTAGATTGCAACTCGTCAGATACTCATCATGGAGTAGTGACAGGATCCTCATGTCATGAGTAGCTGTGTTCGTCGCATTCAATGCAGTCTCCGTTTCATTGAATCGAACTCTTTGTGCTCTTTGAGTGAAATAGATGTGTAAGGGGAAATAGAATCGACCCTAGACCGAGCCCTTAGGCGGTCGGCCTCTTCCGCGTCGCGGGCGAGTCGCTTGGGACTCGGGATGCGCTTGCTCATAAGCAGCGATCGCATCTTGTGCGTGCTCTAGGCTCTCTGCTGGTTCCCACCAGTCTTCATAGAGACCTTCGTAGCCTTTCCATTTGACGTTGTAGTACGTCTGTCCTTGTTTCACCATTTTTCCCTTGACTTCTTCGACTTCAAACTCCTCAGAGTCGTCGATGAGTACCGGTGGACTTGGGAGGACCTGGCCATCACGCTTCTCGAAAGGTTCTAACTTTGAGACGTGGAAAACATCATGGATGCGATACCCTTGAGGTAGCCATAGACGATATGCCTGTGAGCCGATTGGTTCTCGGACTACAAGAGGGCCTAGGAACTTGGGAGATAGCTTCCTCGAAGGAGTCTTGAGCTTCAGCGTCTTGGTGGAAATCATCACCTCATCTCCTTTCTTGAACTTGCGCGGCTTGTGGACGCGATTGTAGTACTTCGCCTGCGACTCGTTGGCTCTTCGCAACGCTTCTGGCAGTGAAGTTTGCAGTCTTCGCAGCTGCGTTAGCCGCGCCGGCAAGTCTGGATGAGTGACGATGCGTGCCGCGTCGGTACTGTCTTCTTCTAGCAGTAATCCCGGCGTGTACCCCATAAGTGCCTCCATAGGCGACATATTGGTAGTGGCATGGATTGAGCGATTGTAGCAATACTGCGCCAACGGTAGTACTTCTGCCCAATCGGACTGATCGGCTGCACAGTAGATTCGCAGATACGTCTCTAGTACCTGGTTCTGTCGCTCCGTCTGCCCGTCAGTCTGTGGGTGAAACGACGTTGAGAGCTTGCGTTGTATCCGAAGAATACTACATAACTCGCTCCAGAACAGGCTGGTGAAAAGGGTGCCTCGATCAGAGACGATTCCCTCGGGAATACCGTAGTTTACGACGACGTGCCGGATAAAGAGATCTGCCAGGCCACTGGCATCAACGTCTTTACGGGTCGGAATGTACAGTGCCATTTTGGTGAACCGGTCAACGATGACAAGGATCGCATCATAGACGATGCCTCTAAGAGTGCATGGCGGGACGCCAGTGATGAAATCCATCGACACTTCTTGCCATGGGCGTTAAGGCTCAGGGAGCGACTGAAGTTCTCCATATGGCTTGTGTCGTTTTGACTTTGACAATTGGCAAGCCCGACAAGTAGAGACATATTCCTCGATGTCACGGGACATGCCTGGCCAAGAGTACTGGGATGATACCAGGCTACTCGTACGGCGACTGCCGAAATGGCCTGCCAGTGGGTCGTCATGACAAATCCGCAAGACCTCTGCACGTAGGGCAGGATCGTTGGGGATGTAGAATCGACCACGATGGAGGAGTGTCCCCTTGTCGTCGAGCTTCCACGTAGGCTCGGAGTCGTTAAGGTTGATGTTCTCTTGTGACTCGCAGCGTTCTCGCTGCTCTTTTGCCTGTTTGTCCTTGAACTGTCGCTCTCGGATCACTGTGAGCAGGGACTCTGGTGCTTCAGTGTAGGCGGTCGTGCCCATGGCTGCGACCTGAACTTGCCTGCGGGAGAGCGTGGGTCTTGGCCACTCAAACTCCGACTCACTTTGGAGTACAAGGGTATTCCTGATCGCGGCGATGACTCTCTTGTCCTCTTCATGGACGGCGGCAGGCATGTGCGGCTCGTCCATAATTGCTAGCTTATTAAGCAGCGTAGGTAGCAAGGAGTTGAGATGTTACGACACTTCAATCTCCGATTCGCGGGCGAGTGCCGGGCGTCTCGAGAGTGGGTCGGCAACGTTCTCCTTGCCTGGGCGGTGCCTCATAATGAAGTCAAACTCCGCCAGCAGTAGGGCCCATCGGGCCTGTCTACTATTCAGACGCTTCGTACTAAGGAAACCCAGAAGGTTCTGATGGTCGGTAATGACTTCGAATGGGTCTTGCGCTCCATCGAGGTAGTGTCGCCAGTGAGTCATTGACTTCACGACAGCGAGTAGCTCCTAGTCGTGGACTTCATACCGCGTCTCTGCGGCGTCCATTTTGCGTGACCAGAAGGCAATGGGGTGCCACTTGGCATCCTCCATTAATTAAGAAATCACAGCGCCGAGTGCAAAGGCAGACGCGTCGGTCTCGAGGCGTAGCCTCTTCCCAGGGTCGTAGTGTACGAGTATTAGGGCACTCACGAAGGCGGCTTTGAGCTGCTCGAAAGCTTGCTGCTGTTCCTTGCCCCATTCCATGTCACCGGACTTCCGACCTCGTTCCATCCCTTTCATGAGGTGCGTCAGCGGCTGAGTAATCCGCGAGTACCCTTCGATAAAACGGCGATAGAAGTTAGCGAAGCCGAGGAATACTTGGACATCACGGAAGGTCTGTGGCGTCTCCCACTGGGTGACTGCCTCTACTCGACTAGGATCCATGGTAATGCCCCCTAGCGATACGATGAACCCTAGGAATTCGACTTGATTGACGTCGAAGGCACATTTAGACGGCTTTACATAGAGCTGGTGCTGTTCGAGTCTCTCGAGCACTGCGGTGATGTCCCGCGCGTGGTCTTCCTCCGTGTTGGAGTAGATCAAGATGTCGTCAAGGTAGACGATGCAACAGATATCTACAAGCCCGGCTAGGGCGGAGTTGATATGCGCCTGGAACGTCGCCGGGGCATTAGTGAGCCCGAAAGGCATCACTGTGTACTCATAGTGGCCGTATCGCGTGCGAAACGCAGTCTTCCAGCGGTCTGATGCCTTGATCTTGATCCGATGATAAGCATCTTGGAGATCTACCTTCGAGAACCGTTTAGCGCCCGACAGGCGGTCCATGATCTCACCGATCAGAGGGAGTGGGTGACGGTTCTTGCGAGTAACCTTGTTAACCCCACGGTAGTCGACACAGAGTCGGAGACCACCGTCTTTCTTTGGAACAAAGAGAATTGGAGCTCCCGCAGGACTCTGAGATGGGATAATCCACCCTTTGGCGATTGCCTTTGCAATGTAATCTCTCAGCGCCTCTAATTCGCGAGGCGAGAGGTTGTAGATAGGGCCGTATGGTACGGAGCCCTCGGTATCAATGGCATGCTCGACGCCGATACATGGTTCTGGCACCTCTGGAGCGTTGAACACTGAGGGGAACTGAGCCATCCAGCGATCTGTGTCACCAAGACTACCCGGGGGCTCTCCCGCTGCGGGCATCTCTTTCATGACTAGTGCATAGATTGTTGGCTGAGATGAGAACGCTGACTTGGCTCTAGGTCCATCTGCGATGTCGAACCGATCGAATCTAACCGACCAGCGCCATTCCGCAGTTGCCGGATGGAGTACGATGTCGTACTTGCCCATCATTGGCATACCGACGAGTACCGGAGTACCCGCGGTCGTCTGGTCAGTGACGAAGAAGTCATCTACGACTGTCTTCCGTGTGCCCCAGGCATCCGTCATTCGCAGCTTCAGGCGACATGCACGGGTTGACTTGACTGCTTCGCCATTGCCCCATACGAGCCCCGGTATCGGGGTGCTCTCGCGGGTTTCAAGGCCGAGTCGTTTGACTAGCTGATCGCTAACAGAGTTGATTGGACTCCCTGTGTCGAATACCACCGTGTAGGGAGTTCCCTTGGTGCGAGTACTCTGCAGGTCTGCCTTAACTTCAAACTGGCGCCCAATGAAGGGGTTTCGCGACGAAGGGGGCGCTAGTCCCTCGCCGCTTTCCCTTTTGGGTGCTGGCCTGGCCAGCGGCGAGTATCCCTCGAGATACTCGCAATGGGTCGTGATTGACCGCTTGCTTTCTTCCGGCATTCGCTCTCGATATGCCCGAAGACCTTGCACCAATTGCAAGTCTTACTAGAAGAAGATGAGGGTCCACTGCGGGACTCGCCTGCTACTCGTTCGGTAGGCTGATGGCGCTCATGCGGAGGGCGTCGCGTCTTGCTGAGCTCCTCTCGTTGCGACGAGCTGTCCTGAGGCCGTTTGGAGCTTCTCGAAGGACGAGTCGGGTTGGCATGCTTGTCTGCCAACTCTATGGCCGTCGCCATTGTAATGAGCGATGCTCGATCTCTTGGGAGATTGTTCGGTTGTCGCATGATCTCGTCACGAGTACCCTGCGACAAACCGGAGAACAGGCGGAGGAGTCCTATTGCAGGATCTCTTGCCGCGTTCGGGAGATGTGCCTCCAATTGCCTCAGGCGCGCGTCATACTTCGCGGCTGACTCCTGGGCGTGTTGTTGGGTGGTGAACCAACGGTTCGCAACGTCGTACTCACGGTACTGTTGATTACCCAGGCATTCGAGGAGGAACTCCTTGAACGCCTCCCAGGTATACGTGTCCCACGACACGGTCCCTTGTTTTATTTGCCAGAGGGACTCTGGGTTGCCAGTCAGGCCTCGTGCAGCCCACCGGATACAATTCTCCTACGACTCGAAGAACGCTCGGTTCATAGCGAAGTAGTTTTCGCAGTCGAGGGTCCATGAGAAGTGTTCTATGATGGACTTCCCATGGTATTCCTTCGCCTGGGCCGACGGCATTCTGGCGTTGAAGCTCGACAGGTGAGTACCCTGCGAATCACCGCCGGACCCTCGGGCGGTCAGAGCCTGCATAGCGGCGGATAGCTGTCTGTTACTCTCCATCAGCTGCTTAAATAGTTCGCCGTTTAAGGCTTCTGCGGGATAAAGAACGTGGTCTTCGGCAGTGATAGGAGTCTTATTGACTCGTGGTGCTATCGGGTTGTCCTGCTGAGGATCACCCAGTGACTCACTTATGCGCTCGCTAGGAGTCGCTTCGTCTTCCTGCTCCGCATTATCATCCTCGCCGACATCTTCAATTGTCGGGAGGGGAGGATTTGCGTGTACCGCGGGTTCTCCATCTAAATGGGACCCTGGGGTATTCGTGCGGGAGCCGGTTTGTGCCATAACGGTCTAGCCCTTAAGGAAGGATCAGAATGTAAGGTCACGAGATGGTTGTGGGCATAGAGCGAGATGGTCACGAGTAATAGACGAGTAGTGGACGAGTCAAGCGGTATATATTGATAATATC